TTAATAAATAAATATTTTTATATTTCTAAATTAGTTAAAATAATTAATATTACATATATATATATATATGACATTTTGTTAATATTTTTCATATTTTGTCGATTTTATTGTACTATGCAAATGTCGATTTACCTCTCATGTCGATATCGACCAATGAAAATATGGATGTATCGATGTAAATGTCAATATGTCGACGGATATTTAGAACTATGGTAACAACACAGTCAAAATAAAAATCCTTAACAAATATAAAAAACAGTAAAAATAAAAAATATACTCTCAAAATTCAATCCGCTTTTGCTGCAAATTATGATACTTTTGTAATTTATTAATATATATATATATATACGTGGAAATATAATATGGGCTTTTAGCTTTCCAAAAAAAAATTAATATGGGCTTTTTGTCTGGCCCGATTTTTGAAGCCCTAAGCCCACTTTTCTGAACACCATGGTTGAATAAGCCATATTCTATCTAATTTTCTCATTTGGAAAATTTGACTGCGCAACTTTATTTTTCTAACCAATTTGTAAATATATATATATTTTTATAAAAATAATTACAAATACGGTATTCTTTTTAAAAAGTTGACCACTTATTTATTTGAATAATTTCAATCAGTTATATCTTTCGGTATCTGTCATTCAACAAATCTTTTACCTATTAGTAGAAGTGACATGTTATTGGCTGTTATCGGATCTTCTACCGACGTAATCTTTTCCAAGTAGGAGTTGAGTTGAGATCTACCTTATGTACAATTAGCTAGTTTTTCCTTGTCCTCATTGTATCCGAGCTTAGGTAAGGACATGTGTCTCAATGCGAGAGGGTCACGTGCATACTTTGAATCTTACCGCTAACCTTTTAAAATAACATGTCATATTCCTATCTTATCGTATACGACAACAGAGAGAAAAAAAAACATATTTGTCTTTTAAGTTATTTATTTTTCATAGTCACACGATATATAGGTGTCTCCGTCAACAAAAGCTAATAAATTAAAAAAAAAAAAACAATTGGTCATCACTTAAAATAAAGGAAAGTAACCAAATTCACACAAAAAAAAACCCTTTAATTTTTCTCTCTCTCTCTCTCTCTCTCTCTCTATTTTGACAAATTGGCAAAGATTGAAGGATTTATAATTTAGTTATAATAGTTGGCCAATTGACAACGATCTCTAGCAATTTCAACTATTTTGCTACCTCGCATTCACAATTATTTTAAATAATTATTATATCGTTTTCCATTATTAATTTCAACAAAATTTTCCCCAACCACACACGTTCTTTAGACAATGACCTACATCTATATATATTATTATTTTTCTCAAATCTTAACGAAGAAGAAAATAAAATTTAAATTTATTTGATGTTCCTTGTATCCACATAAACTATATAATATATTTATAAATATATATTCCATATTTATGGCAAATTCTAATGGTTTATTTGAGGAAATCTTCTCCTATCTAAATTTATATTTGTATCGAGGAAAAAAAAAGCAAATGAAAAGAAAATGAGACAAAAAACAATCAAATAAATTGTATAGAGGAGGTAGGATTTCGAACTCACCGACCTTTTTGTTGAACATAGGTAATTTGAATTATATTTAGATTGACACAACAAAACAAGACCACACTCTTTGAGGATTAGTATACATGATTAAATTTAAAAATTTTCAAACCCATTTATATTTTTAATAAAAGAATAAGTTCAATGTGTTTAATTTTTAATCCTAAGATTGGAAAAATATTAGGCATCAGTGACTCATCGCACCTCTTTATGCTCTTTTCTACAATAAATATTCTTTCTTATTATTATTTAAAATATATTCATAAGGAAAAATATTCTTGCTTTGCATTTTTATTTGTCCTACTTTTTATCTTTTCTTTTCTCTTTTCCCCTTTCATACACAAATTCATTAGAAATCCAAAAATTCGATTTTCAAAGTAAAAGCTTAAACATTTTTCTAATTGCTCCATACAAAGAATATATGAATGCCAACCTCAATATTCTTGCTTGCTTGTCTAAAAAGCTTAATTTATTTTAAGCCTTCACTTTCAAAAGACTTTATCACAAAGTTTGAAAAATGAATTTTCAAAGAATTATTCTGCAACGTTTGCTTCTAATTTTATTTTGGTCTCCGTACTTTTAACTTTGATTTATTTTATCTTTCTACTTTAAAAATGTCAATTTTAGTTTGTGTACTTATAACATCGATCCATTTTACTATATTTTTTTAAAGTGACCATTTTGATTTTTGTTTACAAAATTCTAACACAATGGAAATCCTTTGATATATAAAGTTACAAGAAATATATTGAGTATGATGTCATATTGAAATTATAATATAAAAGACCATATACAAAATAAAATACAATAAAAGAATCAAAATGATCACTTTTTAAAAGTATAAGTATCAAGATGGACTAAAATAAAATAAAAAATTGAAAGTATGGGATCAAAATAGACATTTTAAAAGTAAGGATAACAAAATGAACAAATTGAAAGTAGATGAATCAAAATAGTATTTTGATCTAAATTATAAAAAGAAGAAAAAATATGATTTTTTATTTTTATGTTTAAAAATATTAAATAAAAGCATTATTTATTTATTTTTTACATAAACGCATACTAAATATTGAAAAATAAACAAAAGTATAATTATCAATTACGTATTTATTTTCCATTAATAAAAATTATAATACAATAAATTCATAATATTACCAAATGAACCTTTTTTTCCCCTCTTGAATGCAATACATAAGTAGAAATTTTTTTGTCAGATATAGATACCTTAATCAAAGTTGAGTTACGCTCAAATTGACTTATCAAAATGAACTCTTAAATATATGATTTATTGATAATCTATATTTTTTCCTCCATCTTAAAAATATTAATATTAGTTTACTTTTCAAATCCAAAGGCAAAATTTTTATTATTTAGAATATTAAGGTTCTCAAAGTTAATAACATGAATGGGAAAGAGACAAAAGGCAAAAGATTCCATTAAAAATGGTTGTAAAAAATGATGCATTATTAAACTTCTTAAATGAAAACCAAATTCAATTGTTCCCAAAGTTTTAATGAGCTGATCATTTATTATATAGTATTTTGAGTACAAATTACTATAGTGTGTACATTGAACTAGGACCACACCAACATTAATTCAATAGTTAATTGGACCATTTTTTTTACATGGTCTCCCTTATTATTGAATTACCTACTCTAATATTTTTTATTTATTAAATTAAGTATTTAGAAATCATGGAAACAACACCATCAAGTTTCAATTTTCAAATTTTCCAACACATAAATAAAAATATTATTTTATTATTATTGACTTATAAAATAACTAATAAATTTTTTTAAAAGCATAAGATACAAATTTTGAATATTTAATTTAAAAAAATTATTTTCATATAAAATGTTATCTTTTTAATTTGAAATCTTAGAGAGCGAAATAACAAATAGTTACCAGACACTTTTCTATTTATTTAAAAAAAATAAGAAATATAAACGAATAATAATAAATAAATAATGTTAGCGGACCCTTAGCAACTAAAGTCGTCTAACATTCTTGTCAATACATTATCTTCATTTTGTTTTGGATGGTAATCTCTAATATATATATATATATATATAGCTCCATGAGTAAAAAGCTTCTGTCCTAATAGTAATCTCGATGGAGATTAGGATGAACTTTGATGAACAAAAAAAGAATCCGTAGAATTTTCAATAGGTGGAGCAAATCAAATCTAGAAAAATTAGATACGTGGAAGTGAGGTGTGACTTATTAATAAGAAGATGGGGAGATAACAGGTTATCCCTGTGAATACAAAACAATTATATAAAAAAAAAACACTCATCCTATTATTTTTCATATTTATTATTTTCCTTCTAAAACTTTCCAAACAAATTAAAATTAGGTAAATGCTTCAATACCAAACTACTCTTAAAAGGCAATTAATTAATTATTTTAACTATAGTAATCCCGCATAGCATAGACTTGCCTCCTAATTGTCAATTCTCAATGCCCATTAAAGGATATAAATAATAATAATAAAAAAAATAGAAAAATAATCTTTGGATTAACAGTCACAAGACTAAAGAATATACCTTAAATGAGCATTTTAAATAGTATTATGGTATTAAATTTCAATGGGTAGTTGTTTTCTAAAAAAATAAAATAAGGCATTTGTATATAACATTTTTTAATTAATCAAAATCAATTACGAGCATAAAACATTGTAAATATAAATCAAGGAGTAAATATAAGATTTAAATTATATTTTAATTAAACTTTCATTTCATTTAATTTTAACAATGAATTAATCATTTTTATCATTATTTTTAAATTTTTATATTGAATTTTGTAGAAATCTAGATCACACGTTTCAAAACTTTGCCATCATATCCAATCTATGTAGCGTGAAACACGTCATGAATTGAAAATAAAAAACAAAAACAAAGAAAGAAACTCATGTGAGGTGACATATAGTTATTTTTTCATGGCAAAAAAAAAAATGTTGGAACGAAATTCCTGTATTTACGATTCATTTAAGACAAGGTTAAAGAAGTGACATGAGTTATAATGATTAGATTAAGCCAGTTAGAACTTAGGAAGGACCAGATAGACCTGACTAAATACAATCGAGATTGTCTCTCAGACTAATTTGAGCTCTCTGTAAATAAGAGGAGAGACAACATTAAAAATACATTCCTACTATTTTTTATTTTATAGGGGCGATCAGGTACTATAATCTATATTTAAAAATTAAAAATCTTAGCATATTGAAATGTATACGTTGGACAGCTGTATGATGAAGTCTACTGAGGTGGCTTGCAAGATTAAAATAGAATAGGTATAATCTATAAATTATAAATGAAATTTTATTTCAGAAAAATAAAATATAAATCCTCTTATAATTCTTCTTTCAAAAAGGAGAAAAAAATCATTAACCGCCATTTTCTCCAGTTGTTGAGGTCGTTGGTTCCATCTGGACCATTAAACCCCACCACAAATAAGAAAAAGAAACCTGTCACAGTAACAAAGGGCGAGGGTGTTACAGTCATTTCACCTTCCGAGAACGTTAGGACATAGTGAAGCTTTCGTATAATTTCGAGTGTCTCTCATCTCTGCGTTGCGTTGGCGGTTTCGGCAAAGACATTTTTCCGCGTTACGATCTCACTTTCTTTCTATTTTTGTTGTTGTTGTTCTTCTTCTTTTTCATTATTCAATTCATTATTTTATTCATTTTTGTCTCTTTGAATTCATCACCAATCCGCAAAAAGCAGAGGGTTCTTACTCTTCGCTTTGATTCTCAAGTTTTGTTTATGGTTTCTTCGGAGTCGTAGGAGATGGGGTTTTTCAGCACTGTGTTGGGGATTATTGGGTTTGGAATTATTGGGGTTCCTCTCGGACTGCTCGTGGGGTTCTTCTTGTTCATCTATTCGGAGCCTCAGGAGGTCAAGGTATAATAATAATCCAATGGGTTTCCTTGATTCTTGCTTATTCCACTTCTGATTCTTCTGGAGAACTTTGCAAATGCATCGTGTAATCTCGCCTATTTTAGCCAATATGATGGGGGGTTGTCTCTAATCCCACTTCTGCACTCAATGTGTTTGTTAATTTGTTTATATGACCAATTTTTGAGGTTTTCAGTAAATACTCTCTAGTTCGTTCAGTTGTATCCAATAATTTGCAATGTCAGCTCTGTTAATGCAGTCTCGCAATACTTCTATTTGGGTCTTAGAATGGAAGATTGCTGGGGGTTTTATTTTCATGTCAACAATGAATCTTTCTTCCTTTTTTCTTGAATGCAGGATCCAATGATAAGGCCAATCTACGAACTGGATTCAGAAGCTTTGGAAGAGCTTATTCCTGAAATTCCAGTGTGGGTGAAGCACCCTGATTTTGATCGGGTTCGAAAAATCCTTTATTTGGTCTTTTTTTTTGTTTTCTCTGTCTCCCCTGTTTCTTGATTTCTTGATATTGTCTGATTGAATGCATAAATAGTACAGGTAGACTGGTTGAACAAGTTCCTCGCAGCCATGTGGCCTTATCTTGATAAGGTGAGACTTCACAGTTGCGTCTCTTTTAAAGTGTGCTCCTGTTCGCTAACGTCAATTTCTTGAATGTACAGGCTATTTGTGATAGAATAAGAGCCATCGCTAAACCAATGTTTGCAGAGTATATTGGCAAGTTTCATATTCAATCTATCGAGTTCGAATGTTTAAGCCTTGGAACTCTTCCCCCCAGGCTTTACGGTTAGTTTACTCCGGAGAAGCATCTTTATATCTTGTTTAGAAGAAACATCACCTTCTAAGTGAAGTTTATAGAATGTGCACAATTGTAGCATAAATCCGAGAGTTCATCCTATATGATTGGTTCTTGACTGTATTAATTCATTCAAATCATGGACGTGATGAGAAATTGATATCTTCTAGACAGGTTCTGGCCACCATTTCAGAGGATAGATGTTGGCATGATGCTAACTAAGTTTAGGATACAAGTACTTTGAAAGGAAATAAAATCTCGAGGAGATGAGGTTGCTGAGGCTTGTATGCATTTTAATATTTGTTAACATCAGGCAATGCGAGCAGAGCTAAGTAGTTAAAGTATCTCTATTTTCTCTAAGAGATTGTAGGTTCGAACACCTACCTTCATATTTGTGATGTGAGATTCTCAAATATTTGTTTACTTCTAGCTCCTTAATTAAGTGACTCGAGTAATAAATTTATTACGTTGTATTTGTTTTTGTTGTAGGTTTCAAAGTGCATGAGACTAATGAGAATGAAATAGTCATGGAAACTGCTGTCAGATGGGCTGGGAACCCCAACATAGTATTGGTGCTGAGACTCTTTTCATTAAACATAAAAATTCAGGTCAGAAGATCCAAAAGAGCAAATTTATGACAGAGTAATGTTTATCCTTCCCTCTCCAAAAAAAAAAAATGACTTTCTATCATCTTCTCAGTTAGTAGACCTGCAAATTTTCGCAGCACCTTGGGCAGCTTTGAAGCCTCTAGTGCCCACTTTTCCTTGTTTTTCCAACATTGTTGTATCTTTATTGGAGAAGGTATAAGGACATACGATAAAACATTATTTGTCAATTGATTGAGCTTTATTTAACGGGCGAGTTCATCCATATATAATAGTTTATGTTTTGTTTTTTGTTTCTTGGATTACATATATCCAGCCACATGTAGATTTTGGAATGAAAGTACTAGGATGTGATGTCATGTCCATATCTGGCCTCTATCAATTTGTTCAGGTGCTGCACTGGACCACTGGTATAATCAATTATGAACCACTTAGCTTGGTCAATGAATGTTTACTTTAGAATGATGGATTTTTTAGTCAGCTAACTCTTGCATATGTGTAGGAGACTATCAAAAAACAAATTGCAAATCTCTATCTTTGGCCCCATGTTTTTGGGATACCGATTCTTGACTCTTCAATGTAAGTTTCAATCAGATCATGCAACCAATTGATTTCATTCAGTGTGTGTTTTGATCCAATATCTGAACAAACAGAGGCAACTTTGCAATATTATACAAGTTGGTCCATATATGATTTACTTACTGAATAACCCTGGTTTTTGTATAGAGCGATGACGAAAAAGCCTGTGGGAATACTACACGTGAAGGTTGTCCAGGCTCTAAAGCTCTCGAAGATGGACTTATTGGGGACGTCAGATCCATATGTCAAACTCAGTCTAAGCGGTGAACGACTACCGTCAAAGAAAACCACCATTAAGATGAATAACTTAAATCCAGTTTGGAATGAGAAATTCAAGCTTATTGTAAAGGATCCACAATCTCAAGTTCTTCAGCTGCAAGTTTATGATTGGGATAAGGTCCTTCTTCCCCTCCTCTCCAATGCCATTGAGTTCCTGACTAGTTAATTACATGTCCATCAAATTTACCATAACCGAATAAGATTCTACTTTGAGAATTCATTTCCCACTGCAGGTTGGTGGACACGATAGGTTGGGAATGCAGCTAGTCCCCTTGAAAGTACTTGAACCCTATGAGACAAAGGAACTAACACTCGACTTGCTGAAGAACACGAACATAAATGATTCTCATAACAAGAAACCGAGAGGGCAACTCGTGGTTGAGTTGACGTTTACTCCTTTTAGAGAAGAAAGTAGCAAATGTAGTGGTATGCTAGATGTTACATGTAGGAGTATGGCAAGCCAAAATGCAAGAGATCTACTCGATGATTTTGTAGGTGGAGCGGGGTTGTTATCGGTTAAAGTCCAGGGAGCTACAGGTGTGGAGGGAAAACGACATAGTAATCCTTACATTGTAGCACACTTTAGAGGAGAAAAGAGGAAAACAAAGGTAAATCTCCCCCGTACAGATTCTTACTCTAGCCTTCCATATGCCAACCATAGTCATGGGGTACTCCTCCTCGTCATTGTCGTCGTCTTCATCGTCCTGATTCTTATTTTTTGCAGATGGTGAAGAAATGTCGTGACCCGGTTTGGAATGAAGACTTCCAGTTCATGCTTGAGGAGCCTCCATTAGAAGAGAAGGTCCATATTGAGGTCAGGAGCAGGAGGACCCTTTTCAGTTTCCTATCAAAGGTAATATCTCATGACAAGTCTTCTCTCTTTATTCTCTTGCATTGAAAGTTAACACACTTTTGAGTTCATATCTTTCCATAGGAATCACTAGGACACGTTGAGATAAATCTCACCGATGTTGTGCACAACGGACGCATCAACGAGAAGTATCATCTAATCAATTCGAAACACGGGATGATACACGTCGAGATACAGTGGACAGTGGCTTGATAGCTAGAAACAAAATGAACATTCAAAGATGAAAGAACAACTCCCCCACTTGACTCGTTTATATGTCTCTCCAATGGTGTGAGTATTGTGTGGAAAAAAACAGGGAACATGAACTTGGAAGTCTTTTAGAATTCAGGCCACTGTTCCCATATTGTTCACTTATGTGAAGCTGTATTTAAAGCCATTTCTTGCCATAAGTTTTGCAGTCTAAATGTAGATTAGTTACCCTTGTTGATTATTATTGTCAAAGGTTTATTGACAAAATGCCTCTTTTTTTTTTTTTAGAGAATTTTGAGAAACTAGTAAATGTAATGAAGTACAGGGTAAAAGTTAAAATATATTTTTAGTCGATGAAGTTTGAAGTTATTGTTTATTTGGTTCCGAGGGTTAAAAAAATGTCACTTTAGCCCTTGAAGTTGAAGTGATTCAAAGTGATTCAAAATTTTATCTAGGTTCATTTTATTGTTAGTTTACTAATGGAAAAAATGGTGTAAATAATGAATGTCAAATTTGTAGGTTAAACATAAGTGAGAAGCAAAAAAGAATTGCAATAAACAAATTAGAATAAACAGAAAATGGCAACAAATGTATAAATAGGGTAAAATCACCTTTGTACTATATTTTAAAATAATCCTTCCAACTAATTATTTCTCTTCAAGTATCCAATTTTACAAAAATTATCTCAAAATTTAAATCCAACAACTACTACAATAACCCAACCCCGAGTAAAATATGATTAATTAATGCATTAATAAATTTTCTTATAAATTGGAGGGTTTATTTAGAAAACTGAGAATGAAATTTCAAGAAGAAAAAAAGTATTTCCAAGCCTAATAAAAATTGGAAAAAGAAAAAGAGAGAAAAAAAAGGTAAACATAGATATAAAATATATTTTCAAGTGGAAGAGTTTGTATATTTATTATTTGTGGTTAACCTACAACATTTTAATAAATCATTTAATTTGAAAAATATGGGCCAGCCCAAACATAATAGCCCACTGAAAAAGCCCAATGGCTTCCATCTCAAATATATTGCACATTAATATGGATCATGTTTAATTTTTGTGTCACACAATTGTAGAAAGAGAGATTAGGACAAGAGATGAAACATGTGGGGCCCACATTATTGATGGATGGCTAAGTGTTTGACTTTAAGGAAAGCAATGGGCTATAGCTGGTTATTTTATTATTTATTATTTTTATTCTTTTACATGCAAGATCATAAAGTAACATGCTATTTTCAGAGGGAATATATGTTTTTTTTTTTTAATTTCTAGAAAGGAAAAAAAAATAATAATTGTAATAATGCTCTCACTTTTGTGTACTCCAATACAATATCCTTTGGCTACTTTATCTCACATCCAACACAATTAATTTAATTATATTCCCAGTTTCAATTGTGCCTTCATCACACCATCTCTTCAACTAATTATGAAACATTATTTATAAATCTCTAAAGTAATAAACATATTTTCAAAGAAAAATGAGTGTTGGTAGAAATATGTTGACAAATGTTTAGAGTTTCAATTAATGCACAAATTATGCATATTTTTAGTACAACAAAGATAGGATATGAGCCAATTTGAATATAATTCAACTTGTCAACACATATATCTTTAACCAAAAATTAGAGGTTCGAATCTCCACGTTCACATATTTTAAAATTATAAATCTCATGACGTATAATGCATTAATCAATTAAACTATACTCTAGTTAGGAACGGTCATAAAAAAATAGTCTACTCTAAAAAATCGTTCGCGAAGTGATGCACACTCGATTTCAAACATCTCAACAACTTTTTAATGCATTTTTTATGCACAAATGTATGTATATACGTACTTATATGCATATTGATCCCTCTTTTTACCAAAGAGGCAATATGAAAGAGTTGAACATGTTCTTGAATTGGACGCATCCAAAAATGTTCCCCAACAAATAGTAAAAGAGAATAAGATGGGAAGTATTTTCTCTCTTACGCTCGCTTCAAGAATAATAGTTGTTATCGAGAAGGAGAGATAATTTTTTTCTTTCGGTACAACAAATATGGAAATAGATGATTGAATTAATCTCCGACTTCTAAAAAAGAAGTGAGATATTTTGATCGTTGAGCCATATTCACGTAGACGTTAATCGAGAGACGTGAGAGATGAGAGATTTTTCTTTATAATTGGTGTTATAATGAATTAAAACACCCAAGTGGGGAGCACCATGAGAGTAGAGGGTATCATAATACATAAAAAAAATGAATAATATATTTGAAAAAGAGCAAAGTTTTCAGCTTTCTCGTTGACTTGCCCTAGAAAGTCTCTGCCATATGTTAGAGCTTCATTTTAAAGGGAATCCAATTCCCGCCTCCATCTCTCTCCTCTCCCCCACTTAGATTCTTTACTCATACATCTCCGAGCAGAATAAACAATCTTCAAAACGAGGAATAAAATTTTACGTTTTAAATTGTCGAAGACAAATTAGAGAGAGAAGAAAATAAAAATCTTTAATGGGTGAAGGAGAGGAACAAACTCCATTTGTAGTCTGTCGCTCTAAAAGTCAATTAACAGGTAAAAATTTACCCGTCCTTAAAAAAACTTATAGTTCCACCCCTAACTGTATCCGTTCTTCCTTCTTCGCTCCGCTCGGGTCTACTTCTCTCGCTCCTCCCTTTTTATGGAGAGTGGGGTTAAATTAGGTTAGATTAGGGGAAATTAGTAGAGGGATGCATGTGGTAATCAAAAGGAAGGGAAAGGGAGGTTTTTGGGGGCAGGGAATGCAGAGAGTGTATTGGTTCCTTATTGATTGTTGTTTTGTGGGGGAGAGGGAATAACTTTTGGCCATGCCAAAAAGATAGGCCATTTTTCTCCCTCTCCTTTTTTTTTTTCTTTTTTTTTTTTAATTTGTTTTCCCTCTCCTTTTCCTTTTGTAAAAAGGTTGTCTTTTGAAGGAGGGGAGTAAACTTTAATTTAGTGGACAAATATAAAGAATTTAATTGTACGATTTTGTCTTTATGAGTAACTTTTTAATGACAATAGACTTCACATCATTTTTAATACGATACTGACATGGCAAAGCAATGAATGAAAAGAAAAAAGAGTATATGTACTGTTACAAGTGTTTATAATAGACATGAGTTATTCCTCTCATTGTCAATTGGTTGTGAGGGAACCCCATGAATATTAATATCATATCAGGAGCCCAAAACGCTTAAACGAACAACCGATCCAAAAATGGGATCCGACCAAGATCGATGAGCTAAAAGAACCACGATCTTGAGAAGGCATATTAAGGATCCCACATTGAAAAGAGAAGAGACCTTACAATGATTTATAATAAACATGAGCTACTCCTCTCATTGTCAATTGATTTTGAGATGAATCCGTGAATATTGACATGTTGTAAAAAAAAATCTCTTTTTTTTGAGTGTGTATCTTTGTTAATGGTTGATGCTTTATGCTTTCATAGTGCATCAATATTATTCTCTCTCTAGAAATATATAGAGAGTACTGAGAGAGAGAGGGTTTATAATGTGATTCTCTAATAGACCAATGCTAGCAAGCATTTTAAAAAAATGCTAAGAAATTCCACTACCCAATATTCAAAACCTTATCCTTAATTTGGTTGACATTAGAGAGAGAGAGAGAGAGGAATTTGGGGAAGTGCATGCAGCTGTTTTAAATTATTATTTCCAAAGAGAATTTTAGATTTTATGTTCATATATGCCTTTGGACCCCAAACAATATATATATATATATATAATATATTCTCTACTATCTTACTTTTTCTTTGTCTCAATTATGAACTTACTTTTGTATTTGTTCTAAAAATATATTTCTTTCCCCCTTTCATATTCTCAAAATTTTATTTTAAGAATACATATGACATTTTTTTAGAGATAATACAAAACATATGAATCACTGTTAACGTATAATAATTAGTAATGTTAATAGACATGTGATTATGTAGCCAACCAAAACATATCAAAAAATTGGAACTTCGAATTTTCAATCTCAAATTACGCGTTAAATTGAATAATTTCGTATAGGAGTAGCCCGGGAGGGAAATTTTGACCATAATTTTGTGGCAATTATTTGCGGCCAACATTGACTTTTGTTTCACAACTACCAAATTACTAGTTTCATTTTCATTGACCATTCATCTCACTATCTCACCTTCAATTATGTACATAATGTTCATACTTTGTCGCCATTTTATTTATTTGTTTTTTGAATAGGTGTTTGACATCTCAATTTGATTCGAGTACTTTTAAAAGTTTGAACTTTTAATTAATTTTTTAGGAACAATTTCTGGGTATAGCATATATTCGTCTCTGTACTTTTCAATTTTGATTTTGATCTCTATATATAGTTAATTTCTGTTCATTTTGATTCATGTACTTTAAAACATTCGTTTTGGTCTATGTACTTTTAAAGAGTGACCATTTTTTTTTATCTTTATTGGTAAATTTTTAACACAAATTTTATATACAATGAAAAATCTTCCATATTGTTACATTTTAAAACATTTTACGAGTGAGATGTCATGCTAAAATTTTGATTGAGATAAACATGAAAATGACAGGACCAAAATGATCTCTTTTTTAAAGTACATGGACCAAAAATATCGAAAGCAAAGACTAAAATAAACAAAATTTAAAAATATAAAGACAAATAGATGTTTTGAAAGTATAGGAACGAAAACAAACGAAAACTAAAAGTATTAATTTCGTATTTAAATATACTAATCCTAATTCCCACACTTACCTAATTTCTGATTTACGGTTATTTTTCATTGCAAGTAACAACATTATTAACAATAGAAATTATTGGTCAACTTTAATTAAAAGAAAGAAAAGTAAAAAGTTGACACAAATGAGTAAGAAAGGCATAATAATTATAAATAATTAAAGTAGATAAGTCATTGTCAATAAAAAAAATTATCATGAAAATGAATGAGTGGATTTTTTTAAAGCCAAAGTTAGAGAAATAAACACAATCAATTAGATTTACCAAAATAATTTTGTAAACAAAATCATTAGTAGAGGGAGCGCTGTAAAAGGAGGAAAAAAAAAATTAAGCTCTTCGTACGACGCCGTTTTATATGATAATGAATGGTCAAAGTTTTCAACTGCATGCATATACAAAATAAAGATTTTTAATAATAATAAACCCTACTTTTGTTCTTCAAAGTTCTATCATAAAAAAAAAACTTTTAAAAGCTTACTATTAAAGAGGAGACATATCAATGAGAGATATTTTTTTTTCCTTTGGTGGGTGTCCAAATAAATAAATTCTACTGTTTTCTTTATTAATTCCTCCACTCAATTTGCATCATTAATGTCAGAGATTTTATATAGTAAAATTATATATATAAGGTTAAAGATTACTTTGTTCTGCACATCCATTAAAGTTAATATATATATATATATATATATATATAACTTTTGTTGAATTTCTATAACTAGAGTTCGTTGCCTAGACTGACCAACACTATGATTAACAGGGTTTGCTATGACTTTTTACTAGCGTCTGATCATTACTGAGACTTTTACTTCTGTTCAATATATAATGACAGAAGTTAACTTTGGTTGGTTAATCCGATCAGTTCATAGATGGTCGGCAAGTATGATGGTCTTAATGATGATTCTACACGTATTTCGCAATGTATCTTATTGGTGACTTTAAGGCTTGAACCCAAAACTTACCACAAGACCCCTGGTCCCTTGCTAATTCGTCACCCTCTAAGATACTTGAGTTTCTTATATATTTGATAAATGATGAGGATGAAATGTATTTATAAACTACAAAGATTAAATGTTACAAATTTTTAACTACATAGACTACATTATTACATATTAAAATTCATGAATTAAATTGTTACCAATTTGTCGACCTCTTCAACACTATACTTCAATTATGCTCTTCGAAAAGGAACATCGACTCTAACAATTCCAACAGTGACTAAATCATTATAAATTAAGATTCGTAGACTAAATCAATCACTACTTTAGTAAAGGTACATGAACCAAGCATATTTTTTATTCTATATATAATTATCATTAATAAAGTAAAATGGTTTAGGGACCAAAATGGTAATTTAATTTGTGTCAGTTATTTTCCACCTTCAAAATAAGAATGTGATAAAAATAAAAATGATAAAAAAAAAAAAGAGTATAAAGTAACTATATGTATTTGGTCTAGATTAGGGAGTTGATAACTATTTGAGAATAAACTGATCTTCAAAGATATGAAAACATGTTAATTTTTTTTAACCCTATATTCTAGTACAATCGAGAAATTATTATTTTTATTTTCAAATTATCAACTTGTTATAAACGTTAATATTTAACCCACAAATAGTGTTTAGCCCCAGCAAACCCACACGATTATAGTTTTTAAACATAGTAATTCAGTTTTGTATTTGCTTTTGGCTTAGAGACAATTTAAATTTATCAAATGTCATGGCTATATGATTTTTTTAAGTAATTTTTTCGGTCCAACAAACATGGGAGGTATAGATTCAAATATCTATTTTTAGGGACGATAATATATACTTTAATCAGTTGAATTCATATTCAGAATTACGTCACATATATATAATTATCAAACTCATATATATATATATATATATATATATATATATATATATATATATATATATATATATATATTACGTACGTGTAGAGAAAATTGGAGGGCATATAGGTTGGTTTTGTGGGTATTTGACTTTGTGAAAGAAAAGCAAAGTAACATTGGAAGATTCGATAAATGAACCTTAGAAGATTATATATAGAGAGGAAAATGACTTATTAATTTAAATTTATATGTTTAATTTTCATCCAACAGAATTGAATATGTGGAAAAATATAAAATAAATAGCGAGAGATATCATTCAAATTCCACGGTGGTCATTCACCTAAAATATTAGACGGTTATTTTACGAGATCATTGAAGGGTAAAAAAAAAAAAAGGCAGGGCAATAATGAAAAGAGAAAGAAAGGAAAAATTAAAGAAGGGGGAAAATCCAGCTAAATAAAATGTCAAACTTAGGGTTGACATGGGAATCTCCTGCTGGCTGACTGCTGCCTTGTCACGTGATGATTTGCACGTGTGCCATGCTCAGTCTCATCATCATTATCTTCTAAAAAGTAATCTCATTTCTTTAAACCCAAAAAAAATAGAAAATATTTAAATCTCTCTTGCATTTATATTACAATCTGTTTTCATCTCTTCAATTATATACAAATCGCACACTAGATTTGTGATGAGTGTGATTTTGGGATATGAGTTAAATGAATATTTATTTGTTAAATTATAAGTTTAGTTTTTTAATTCTAAAAAAATATTTTTTATGTTATCGTCAAAATTTGAAAGAGTATTATAAATTTATAAACTTTCAATTTTGTAGTTAATAATTTTTTTTTATTTTTTTATTTATTTTGCATCCAGTAAGTCCTAGATTTAATTATTAGACATTTTTTTCTTTTTAATTTAGAGATATGTTAGAGGTTATTGAATTTCTAAATTTATAAGACATAAAAAGTTTAATGATCTATTAGACATCTTTTGATGTTCGGTGACATACTTGACACAATTTTTAAAAATTATTGTTAGTTTGGTAACATTCATGTTTCTTATTTTTAGTATGTTTCTTCTTTCTCAATTTTTTTTATAAACATTTTTCTTATTTCCCTTTCCAAAATTTTTCAAAACATAAATAAAAAATACCCCATCTTAACTTATAAAAAATAATAAATAGTTACGAAAATGCAACTATATTTTATTTTATTAAAAAAATGAAACAAAAAATGGGAAGCTTACCAAATAAGTTCTCAAAACTTATCGTACTGAAATTGGAAAATAATGCACTAAGCCTATAATTTTATTATTTTCATTGTTTATTTATTTATTTATAGATCTTCAACCTATAATTATTGAGAAAAAAAGAAAAGAAAAAACAACATTTGACTCCATGTTGAACAATGATTTATGATGATGGATTGTGAGGGCCAGCCCATTGATTAAACC